AACAAATCGAAAATATTTGTTTTGTGAAAAGAATTGTGACAATACTTGGCATAAATCCCAACTACGGGGCATATTCACTCGTTACCCTTGACTTATGAAATTAGAGACAAACCAAACACTTGTTAACTCTTCAGCATTCAAAAATAAAAAATAAAAAACTCATCCGAGTAAAAAAAAAAATCAGCCTATCTTTTCAATTTTCAGTCCGCTTTTAAGTTGTTTTGCCAAACATAGCCTTAAACTGTTTAGATTTCAGTTATCATTCCAGACTGCCCAGAACCAGACCATGTAGCCATAAGTTTAACACCAACAATATATAACCAAAAGGATTTGCCAATTGCCAAAACCCAAAAACAAGCATCCATAACTGAACCGGACAGACCGTGTTTTAGACAAATGGAATGTCCCAACAAAGGAACAACAACAATAATCACATGAAATTCAACTTCTTAAGTTCAAACACACCATATCGCACTGCACGAGGGCAAACTCAAAGTAGTTTTTAAAAAAAAAACATTGTTCAAAAATAGGGGAAATTCAAAAATTCGTACGAAAGTATATAGGCTACGCAAGTGACTGAAAAGAGGATGGTTTACTTGAAGCATTTGGCATCCAGGAGAGCCTCACCTTCAAAAGGCTCTTGATCCTCAATCATCTGGTTCACGCGCTCCTTCTGAGCTTCATCATTAATGTCAACTTCCTTCCAGTCATACAGTTCCATGTCATACACTTCGTCCATGATAAACTTGGGAATTTCTTTCCCGCGGAAAAGCCATAGACCCTTCACCTTGAAGGGAGCTTCTGATCCAACCACCAACATCTTGCCAAAGGCATACTTGCGTGCCAGATCCATTCTCTGCAAGAACCCACCCACCTTGTTCAAGGTGACAAAGGAAACACTGTTCTCCTCGTTGTACTTGTAGTCGCAGAACCACAGAGAGTATCCCTCAGGATCGTACATCTCCCAGAAACCTGGAACACAAAGATGAGCTTCAGCCTACAAACCAAGAAACCGAGTACTACATTCCAATCCAGTTCTCTTAAGCCTTGTTTGGGAAAAACTTTTCCAGTTAGCGGTTAGGATTTTTTCTTAACAATGCAAATTAACATTAGTAGGACAAACGCTAAACAGTGCCCTTAGATGGTCCTTTTCAAAAGGATGAATCTGTTGCCAAGCAGGTGCTTGGAAATTAAGTAGATAAAATTTATAATTGGAGAAAAACCGTAGAATATTGACATACCACCATTTATAGCATGTTTGGGATTATTTTTTGGAGAATACTTTAACAAGAAAAACAACAAATTAGAGTTCTTCAAAGAAACGTACTTGTTTGAAGAAGTACCTTTTATAAGCCATCCCACCAAAGGAACTTTATCATTAAAGATTCACTTTGCAAGGATGTTAACAATAAAATATGAAGAAAACAGTATTTTGGTTAAGCTTTACTCCCTATAAACAGCTACTGTATATACTGAGAAACAGCTTTTTCATTAAAAAAAAAACAGCACTCACTCTGAACCTGGGAGTACAACATATGATAACAGATACAGAAGAATATACCTTTGATGGCAACTTCACGGAAGTTGGTCTTAGTGTTAGAGTACAACCTCTTCCACTCATCAAGAACCATCTTGCTAGGTGGCAAGAGATCGAGGGGGTTTTTTGGCTTTGGCTTGGGTGCTTCTTCTTCCTCAGCCTCTTCCTTTGGCTTAGGCTCTTCCTTCTTAGCCTCTTTCTTAGGCTCCTCCTTTTTTGGTTTTGCAGGTTCCTTTGCCTGTGCAGGTTTCTTGGATGGTACAGCAGGAATGGTTTCTGCTTGCTTAATCTCACCCAATATCTTGGCAAAATTTGGCTGATTAACCATTGTCCAGAAATATCTCTCCACATGTGGGAAGTCCTTGGTAAAGCTCTTTGTCAGGATAAACCTATATCCAACGCTAAGGTTACAGGTCATAACAATGTCAGCAAGTGTCACCGAATGCCCAACAAGGTAAGTGTTTGAGGCAAGATGAGTGTTCAAAGCATCAAGTGCCCTCTTCAGTGCAGAGATCGCAATTTCTTCACTCTAAATTGACAAAGAATAAAACAATTTATTAATACAATGTTGATTTTTTTATCAAACTACAAGTCTATGTAAGCAACGAGGTGCATAGAGTGAATAGACAACTTCATATACCGGTTGCAAATATGGATAAAATCCAAGTCGTGGGTACAACCACCTGGCAAGATTAGCATCAATTTCCGTAGCAGAAAAGTCCATCCATTGCTCAATACGGGCCTATACATATGATCATAAATCAAAGTGAATATAAAATCAACAAAAAGGAAATTAGTACGGCTAGGTTTAAATAACAGGTCTTACATATTCAATCAGTGAAGAACCAAAAAGTGGATTGTCATTCTTCAGCTTGGCAACTACGTTTCAAAAATCAAAGATCAGGTAGGAATAGAGTTGTTATTCCAACAAAATAAACAAATAGATAGAGCAAAAATCTCACCATAACGAGCAATAGCATTACTCTCAAATACAGCTCCATCAGGAGTTTCAAGCACAGGAACCTACACCAACAGAAAACATTGGCAGACATTAGAAAAAAATGGGGAAGATATGAAATAAAACATATAGACCTTAGTGGATATACAGTACCTTTCCAAGGGGATTCATCTTAAGAAACTCAGGGGTCTTGTTTGTCACACCCATCACAAAATCATTTGTCAGTTCCAGTTTTACACCACTATACTCAGCAGCAATACGTGCCTTGAATGCATTTTTGTTGTCAGGGAAAGAGTGCAGAACCTACAATGAAAGATCACAAGCAGTTGTTCTTATGTTAAATACCTTTGAAGCCATACCTTAGTGATGCATGAGGTTTATTATAAAGCTATAGGAACCAGAGCAGCATGTGGCAAGCCATTGTGGCATGTTGACAGTCTCATTACCCTTTCTATATATAAAATTGAAGGATGGGTCTAGTTTATCATCATTCTGTAATATTTAGAATTTAGAAAATCTAAATTTTGTAAAACAGGCAAGAACCATTGACATTCATCAAAGTTCAAACACAGCCTTAAAGAAAACATTCATCACATGGAATGAGCTTCACATGATAATTTTAATAAGCTACGTTTCACCTAACAAAATACAGCATGTGTCCTCAAGTTATGTTATGTATTTGATATAATTGAGCGTATCAAATACAAAATTAACAAAGTACCACATCAGAGAAAAAATACGATAGAATAAAGCCCAAAAATACATAGATCAAGAAAAGTGGCCGATAAAAAACAGAAAGGGGAGCCTTTTTCCACACAAAAACACAAATCTGCGACAGAATGATACGGTGGGGAAGAACCACACAAAATACATTTAGAAAAAGATGCAGACTTGGACAATAGAATCTGAAAAGGTGTGATTTACGAGCGATCAAATTGAACAAATATGCAAACTGGCGGATAACAAACAGGTCACGACCAGATCTGTAGCTCGAAGTTAAGCATTCAAACACGAAGACGATGCGAAGAAGCTCACCAGAGCCATTTCTTTCAGAGTAGAAACTCCAATTCGATTCTATCACCTCAGATATCTGAAAATCGAGACAAGAATCAAACAAAATCACCTCAATAACACATCCACACATGAATTACAAAAATGGGAGAATCAGATCGGAAGAAATTTGGAGAGAAAAGACGGCTCACGCTGCTGCTTGGCTGAGGAGAAACTGGACGATGATGACACTTCAGTTGAAGGTGTGGAGGTTTAGGGTTTCGTAGGAGATGTGAAAATAGAAACGGATGCTATAAATTTATACGAAAAAATAATGAAGGCCGATTGTCCCTTTAATGAGGGATGGAATTATGCCATATAGACATTTGAAATGGACAAATTTTCTCCCTTTCTTAAAACAAAGTTCAACCTTTCACCTTAAATAATTTAGAAAGGAAAGTATGTGAAGTTTGAAAATAAGTGGTTGAAATTTAATTAAAAAGAAGAAAAAAAGTGTTTTACCTATTTTATTTTTTTTATTTTTCAGTAAATTTCATAATTGATCTTTTATAACATGCGCATATTTAATCTTCTATTAACAAATATTACGTCTGTAATCTTTATTTTTTTCAGTACCTTTCCAAAAATGGTTTTTTTACCTTTTGTCACACTAGTGTTAATTTGAAGACAAAAAGTGTATATTGACATCAACTTTGTGACTTTACAAAATTTAATAAAGGTTTACATAAGATATTTTTTTAATCTTGTCCTTTTTAAAATAAAATATTCACTGATTGTGATCTGCTTGAATAAGACTATAAATAATAACAACTCACTGTTTTAAATGATATTACTTATATTTACAAAAGTTCATATATTTGAATTAAATTGTATATAACAAACTGAACGTCTTTAATTTAATTATGTTATAAAATAATTAAATTGATATTTGAAAAAATTTCTAATCTAAAAATTTACTGTATTGAATTTATTTTATATAATGCTCGTCTCTTTTTATAAATTGACTATTTTCAGAACTATGAACTCATAAAAGATATTATTTATATTGACCAAAGTACTCAGTATATTATGTATAATTACCAAAGTATTGATGTGAATTTTGATTCTCAAATAATTAGTTCAAAATTTCCTTTTAAATTTTAGAGGTTCAAATTTTTTGTATGAATTAAAAAAATTATTATGTTTTTTAGGAACGATAATTATTACTTCTTGAGCAAGGCTGTTTATGTTAATACTGTACAACGAATGAAAATTGAATTTTATTGACTCAAACACAATGAAAGTAGTACATTAACATTAGTTAGAGATAGCCACTTCCAAAACCATGTAACCTAACATAGTTTGTAGGGACTTGTAAACATAAATACATAAGAAAACACCATGTTACCTGTCACACATACAGGTGTAAAACAGTGTGGTAGACACTTGAAGAACAAAATAAGTAAGGCACTGTCACCAATTTGTTGAACTTGTGCATAGCACATAATTCAAACAAATGGTGCACGTTATTTAATGGACATAGTTTTGCAAACATAAAAATATTAAACATAACATTCTAGGAGATAAGATCTTCTTAAACCATCCTAGTTCTTGGTTTCTTCTTTGCCTTGGTTGTTGAGCCCTGATCCATCAGGAACTGACCAAATTCTTCATCTTCCAAACCGTCATCCACAGCTTTTGCCTTGCCTTTATCCCCTGTTTTCCTGCCTTCTTTATTTGAGCCAATCTGATACAGAATTCAAAAAGTCATGACAGGCTATACTCTTTTTTGCTCAAAATTATATTATCACTTAAGTTAGGGACACTACATGTTCTATGTTGAGATCTGAAAATTCAAAACCATTCCATCCATCCATCTCATCTTTAACAACTGCGGGGGGTTTGTACTAGGCAAGCGTCTTGGAGTCTGTAACCATTGTCAACACTCCAAAGCTTCTGGGTCATTGGTACTTAGTATAGAGTGAGGCATTTCTCAAAACAGTTTTAAATAGCCGAGTCTTTGAAAGTACTTTTTTCTCGAGTTCTTTCAGAAACTCACGGTCTTTCCCGGTTCGCTTTAAGAAATGATAAAACATTTTTTATGTTATCAATAGTGTTATATTTGTTCTTAACAAAATAAACTTTTTCTGAGTAATTTCAATTAAAAGCACACCTTGATCATAATCTCTCTCATTTTTGAAGCAGGCATACCCATCATATCCTTGCACTCTTTGTCCCAGAGAACAAACGTCACAGTGCCTGAGGAGTCTTTTAAAGTCACTGTAACTTTGTACCTAGTCATAATGTACATAGAAAACTTAGTTACTCAAAATATTCATCATGAAGCATGAATAATATTTTTGAAATAATAGTGAAGCATGAATAATATTTTTGAAATAATATTATGAAGAAATATATATTTAATTATTAGTCATATTTGTACTCCCCAAAAGACATAGTCTTTTGGCATTGAAGACACCGAAAAACATCACCCTCTTGTTCTACCTTTCGACTGCAATTTTTGTTTTTGCAACCCAAATAGTACCAGTCATTGTAGTTCTCAGTGGTGACTATGTCAGCCATTATCCAGAAATAACCATCATATTCATCAAAAACAATTAAAACATAATTCAAGTAATAGTAGGGAAGAAATATTCTTTTCGAGTAGTTTGTCCAACTTGGTCCAACCTCAGTTTCAGTAAGAAGGTTTTTTATGCTTGAAATCTTTAGGTTTGTACTGGTATCTTCTGTCCCTTCACTACTCTGTGTGGTCTGTGTGAGAGTAAAGGTGCTTGAGGATCTGCACTCATCAACCTCAGTCTTAAATGTCTTGAGGAATTCCTTTGCCTCTTCCGATTCATTGTCTAGTATAAGTTGAGTCACGTGGAAGGATGTCGTTATTTGAATTTCTTCTGCACGTAAAAAATAGTTTAAAAACAAAAAATAGAAACCAAAAGAATAGAAAACAAAAAATTAGGCTATGGAAGCAGAATGCGTTAAAACCCATACTAAGGAATTCTTTTGCACGACAGAACTTCAGCATCAGAATAGGATTTGTTATTCCCGCTCCCACAGATTCGTTAAACTTGTCAATGTAGTTCTCCCAACAGTGTGCACCGAAGCTTTTGTCCTCTATGAAATGAAATATCCTGTGTTAACTTAGGAATATAATATCCAAAGGGAAATGATTTTTTATTTAGAAATAAGCATTACTTTCCATCTTCCAAAGTCAGCTCTAAAGTTCTTTGGGGACACCCTTGAACCATACGGATTTGGATGTTTGTCCTTCAAATAATTTTCCAATGACATCTATAATTCAAATCAAATAGGTGTTTCAATAAGTATTATAAATAAGACATGAATAAAAAAAATCTGAATTTTTCTTACCAGCTTTGAGATAGGGGTTCTAATAATTTTTCAAAAGGGCATAAGTTAGACATAAAGCTTGGGAATCGATATGCATTGATGTCTTTCCAAAGTGTGCCTTTAAAAAACACAAAATATATGGGTGGTCTATGGTTTTGAAGGGGTGGTTGTTCTTGTTAACTACGGAGTATAAAATTTTTGAGTGCACAAACTTTTCCCTCTTGGATTTTCAGTTTGAAATAATCCAATTGTGCTCTCTTAACTTGGGCATGAATCCTGGTCCCCTGTATATCAAAAATGAACATGGTTAAACTTTTAAACACAACCCTATACAAAAATTTCATTATATATGTGTAGCATACAAATACCTCTGAATCATGGAAAATAATTTCCATGGTGTTTTCTTTTCCAGAATGGGTAGGAATGTTGTAAACTCGAACAGCTCTCATGCAAATCGCCTACTCTTGTTTGCTGTTATCCAAATCTTTTAAATATGACCAGAGGCCACCCCTTCCACTTGATGCATTTGACATTGTTGTTTTCTTTCTTTGCAGGGTGGGAATTGGTTGTAAGAATGTTATGTGGAACCCTACGTAATTGCCATCTTTTATAGTACGTTCAGTGTGGTGGAGAGGTTGTGCAGGTGTGGGAAGTTCCACTCCAGATTTTATGGGAAGTGGAGAGGTTGTGTGAAACCACACGTAAATGCTGGCAGCTTTTTTTATTGTTTTTATTTGTTTATGTTGTATAAAAAATATAAGTTTGGTTTCCCTTTTTTTTGGGAGTGCAGCACGAAATGGGGTGTTCATTTATTTCCTTTTTTCTTTATTTATGAAAACTGCCCAGAATATAATTAGTAAAACATTTTAAAATGTTTTTTAAATATCATTTATGTAGTTTTAGTAATAATAAAGAAAAGCTCATAAAATTTTATGGTTTTATGTTGTTACTTTGCTTAAATTTCTATGGATTTAAATTTAAAATAATGGATTTTAATAATAATAATTTTAAAGAGCATAAAAAAGTGTTCTGATATTTGAGATGACATTGTTTAGTATGTTGTTTAAAATGTTTGAAACTGAATACTATTAAATTTTTAAACTTAAAATATTAAGGATATTCCAATAAAAAATCACGCTGCTCATATTCTTGATATACGTTAGGAAGAAAACGGCCTAATGCTACAGTAACCAGTCCAAAATTTTAGGCAGGACATTTTTCCTGCTGCGTTGTAAGTAGGAGGATAAATAAGTGAGCTGTTTCAATTCTTTAGATTTCAAATGAATTCAAACAACACATTTCTTTAGCAAACATCTTTCATTTTTTAGTAACTTTTGTCCAAAATAAAAGGGTGAACTCCATCTTAAAGTCTTCTTAAAACATGATCCAGACGCTTACTGAAAGCAAGTAAATAAAATTTTAATCTTTACTTGTTAATAAAAAATGTTATATTCTCTCCGTTCCAGAATTGATAACAATATGTACTATTCCAAAATCTCAGTAACTTTTTTAATAAATTAAAATATTCTCACACTCTATTATCCAAAAATGGAGACAACTTATGCCCAATTGGTGTGGGGGTTGAGGGATTATTTCACTAAAAGCTCGTGGCCCAATTGTACGCGGAGTAGGCGCATGACTCATGAGCCGCGTTTGACGCCGCAACTACATTGACCTTTGCTTGTGACAAAAGAGAAAGAGAAATTTCTTCTCTCCAATTTCCTTTCTTTTGCAACAGCTTCAGGAGGAAAAAACACAAGGAAGAAGAAGAAGAAGAGACATGGAAGGGAGCTCCCCCTCACCACCATCATCATCTTCTTCTTCTTCTGCTATATTCTTCTCCAGTTTATCAATTTTTCTGTGCTTCATTCCAGGTTCGCCTCTAATTCTTGAATCCCAAGTTCAAAGATCACTTTTTTCTCTTAACTTCCTTAGTTCCGATTGATGGGTGTTGTCTAATTTGTGCTTATTCTCTATGTGATCAACAGTAATTTGGATTTATGTTGAAATTAGTTTTGTTTTATAGCTTGATCTCTGCTTTAGACTCTATCTATGGTTAGATCTTTCTCTGAGAGCTGTTTGGTTAGGATAAAATATGCTTCAATGGCCAAGAATTTGCTTAAATTGTTGATGAGTTTTCTGAATTATAAAAACACAACCGCTCCTTATTATGATTTTCTCAATGAAATAGAGAAAACATTGTATTGTAATAATGGGAATAAAATTCAACCATAAGAACCTTCATAACTCCTTTTTTTACTTTTCATTCTCAACTAGTTTAGGATGACATTCGATTAAGTTAGGTAGTGTTTGTGAACTAGCATTTCACTTCAAAAATTTGAATTTTGAATTTCAAATGACAAGGGAGGTATATTGATTTCTAATTGAGCCTTGTTATGAACCAGGGGAATTTGTCCCAAATCTAAATCCAAATTTTAAAGATTCCCAAACATGGAATTTGAGCCAAATCCCGTTTTGAAATCCAAATTCAACTTCCCAAACATGCCATTAGTTTCTCTTTTATTTCACCAGCAGTTTTAGGCTTTTAGCATACATTCCATTGTAGAATCAAGGATTGGATCTTTCTGTGGTTTATCTATTGTGGTTACTTCATTACTAAATTTTCTTTGATTTTAAGTAATGGTAAGAACATAACTGTATTGAGCCTCAACTTGGAGATAATTTGGGAGTTTTACTCTAAACATCAATTTTGTTACCAAAATGTTCCCAAGATGGGAGAATCCAAAACAAGTTCTATAGCCTGCTTTTGATGTTGGGAGATGCACAGTGTGGATTTTTATCATTGTTGTTGTTGCTGTTTATATTTTGCCCATAATTTTCTTTCCATAGAAAATGACCCAAATGACCCTTATATTAACCTCCCCTTCCCCTTTCAAACTATGAAGGGTTGGCAGGTGGCGGCTCAGATTTGCCAAGCTCTGGAACCGTAGCTTCCAACCATTCATCCAAGAAGTCGTCCACGCTGATAGGACTTGCCGTGTGCCTTGTGGGGGCAATAGTACTAATTGGAGGGGCAGTTCTTGTCTTCAAGATATGGCAGAAGAAGAGGAGAGAAGTGCAGCACGCCCGTCTCCTAAAGCTCTTTGAGGAAGAAGACGATGATCTCAACGAGGAGCTTGGAATCTGAGACTCCTTAATCCAGTATGGCTCTCTATTTGGATGATAGGTTTTGGAGAACTTAGCATATAGTATCTTCTTGATGTATAGAATGCTTTTTTTTGTTCCTTTCAAAAAGATAATTAAAATGTCATACAATCACATATTATATATGTTAATCCTTTTTATCATGAAACATCTCATGAATGAAGATTAAATAGAGAAACTAAATTAAGAATGAAAATAGATCAGAGATCAATCAATAAGAACAGCAAATATATGATCTTTTTCCCAAGCTCATGAAAAGCATGATAAAATCTGAATTTCACATGTGGACCTTAAGACTTTAAGTTAACTCCAATGTTCTCTCCTTGTTTTACACTTTAAGAGGTAAATTAGTCCTTTTATAACATAAGGTTTGAATTGAATTTACCCAAAATTAAGTTGGATTTAGCCATACCCATTATTAATATGTAATAAAAATTTATTTAATTTATGATCATAAACTCTTCAGTCTGGCTAAAAAAGAGACAATATTCCTGCGTAATACTTTGTCCTAAATTTTCTTCCTAGTTACCCCGTATTATTTATACGGTCAAATTTTAATAAATTTCTTTATTTATTTTTGTAAGTTATTTGATAAAATAGTATAGTCATGTCACTTCTTGTTTTGTAGATCGAGTAAAACTTTTAAATTTTTAATGTAGTTTTAAATTACTCTGTATATAAATATTATTGTTAAGATTTTACATCTATAATCGAATAAATTGAATTAATAATAAAAACGGTCAAACCTCGTAAACTAAAGGGAAGAATGTTTTAGAGAGGATTTGTTAATACGCTTTTCAACTTGATACAAATATTCTGAAAAGCGGACCATACATCAATCCGAATGATCAAGACTCAAGAGGGTCAAAAGTTAACCGTTGAACCAGTCAAACTTGGATCAACTACTTGGAGTATTTGTTCATACGTTTTTAGCCTAACAAAGATGTTCTAAAAAGTGGACAGGACATCGATCCGGATGATCAAGTGGGTCAAGGGTTAACCGCTTGAACCGGTCACATCTGGGTGAATGACTCGGTCAACAATCAATTATAATATTAGATTTTCCATTAGATTTTGAAGCATTTTATTGCTCCGTATCAAGATTTGTTTAGATTCTTACAGTCCATAGATTATGCCAAAATTAATAATTGACTATATATAGACTAAAATAATCAATCATTAAAAAATCAAATGAATATTATTTTCCAAAAAAAATTTATAGTCACATGCTATAAATTTATAGTCATATATAAATTTCATTTTTTATTTATATACCAATCTTTACATAAAATAAATTAAATAAACTTAGAATTTTACTTCATTTTGCATAAAGGATAAATGATTTAGGGACGAAGAGAGTATTATATTAAATGATTTTTGTTTCCGTTAGTTACTTATCTTTTTTTTTTTTGCTAAAATGCATAGTTGATCTTTTAAGTTATTATCTCATTTTGGATATGTCCTTCAATTTCAAAAATTCCACGAATACTCTTCTTTTTTTAGAATGTATAAGGGGTTTGTTGTTGTTATAAAGTAAAGTTTTGACGAAAGATTCTCAAGAATTCAGATGGGCTTCTGCACAGTGAGCCAAAGAATGGGCCAAAAGCCACACTTTGGTCACACCATGATCAAGCTAAAGACGACCAAATAACAATAAAAACAGAAACAACACCAAGAGACGGCATTTAATAAATAAATATTAAATAAATAAATATTATTAAAATTTGACATGTCAAAGTTTATAAAATTGACCAAAAAATTACTCGTATATCGTTAAAAATTTTTTGGCACTGAAACAGTACTCCGTATAATTTACTCCGTATAAAATGCACCCCACTAACATAACTCCCTCTATCCCATTTTTTCTTCTCATTTAGCTTTTTACGGTCTCTAATTTACGACTCTAACCATTAATATCTCTATTTATATATAGAGATACAAAATATATTATAAAAATTTGATATTTCAAAATCATATTTAAAAAAGAACATATTAATATTAGATTTATACCACAATTTATTATATTTTTTTCATAATTTACAGTAAAATTTTAAAAAAATTGACCACCAAAAGTCAAAAGAGTGAAAAAAACAAAGTGGACGAAGGGAGTATTTTAATGCATTCACAAATCTGGTACAAAAAGACTAATTATGGTGCAACATTTTTAAAAGTTTAAAGAGCATTGGTGCAATTTTTAAAGTACAATGGCAATCAGTGCAATTTTTGAAAAGTTTAGAGTAAATGATGCAAAAAACTCCAACGATATGCAACTGGTAGAGCTAATTGTGAAGTATGTTCTTATTTGATTAATAGTCCTACTCTCTTTACTTTATATACTCTCTGCGATCTTTTCTATCTTTGCAGTTTGAGCTGGGGATCTATTTAGAAATATTTCTCTACTTTCGAGTTGGGACAAGCTAAGGTCTCCGCACGCACACCTTCCCCAGACTCTACTCTCATGGGACAAAACACTGAGTTAGTTGTTATTGTTGTTGTTCTAATGCTACACCCCCTGTTTTTTCAAAATGGTTCTTATGTTGACTTATGAGAGAAATAATTATAGTTGATTTTCTAACATTATCTATGATGTGATAGGTAAAAGTAAGATATGATGAATAAGTTATTACGAATAGTTAAAATGTTGGAATATATTGATATTAAATTTATATCATAATACAATATATTTTTTCCTACATATCGAAGACAAAATTTACAAACGTTGACCAAGAAAACCCCAACGGGAAGAACATTTCTGGACGGAGGGAGTACATTTCACTTTGGTGAAAAATGAAACTCCCCACGTCCCATATCTTTTTTCATGTTTGAATTTTCAAGTTTTCCAATGCAACACTTTAACATACAATATTTTTTATTTTGTAAATATTTATAGGTTTTAAAATATGATATTTCAAACTCCTTGTCGAAATTTATTTTATAATAAAATATGAGTATAGTTTTTAGCATAGTTCATGATAAAAGTAAAGAAAAATTGACCAAAAAAACTACCGGAGTAAAATGAGAAGAAAAAAAAAAGATACGGTGGGAGAAGTTAAAATAAAAGGGCTGGCAATAATATAATCTCTCCATTCTTAAAAAGAGTTTCACTTTTGACCAAGTGGTAAAATAAGAAAATGTTAAACTATAGTTGACTTTTCAATTTTGTCCTTGATGTGATGAGTAAGAGTAAAATGTGATAGATAAATTATACGGAGTAATAAAAAAAGTATGATGTTATAAGTAGGGTAAGATTGAATAGGGGTAAAAAGAGTTTTTAATTAGTAGAAAGTAGAAGTGTTTTGTTGGAAGTAAAAAATACTAGTATGAAAGAAGTGTTTTTGAAAACGAAAAGAGTAAGCAAGTCCGTTTTGGTTTTTTCATTGAGGACTAAAATGGCAATTCACCCTCCTCAAAAATCACCACGAAAGCCTTTAGGACAGGCACAAAACTGCAGATGTTGTCTAAAATGATGGAGGGGCAATTCGGTAAAGTTACTGGGACAGAAACCCTTTGCCGTAAATGGCAAGAAATGGCCACTCAAAGCTCTTTAATTTCGAAGCCCCATAATATCACGTAGAGGTTCATATCTGGTAAAATTCCATTTCCATGTCATTTTCAACGCCAGCTCTCTCTCTCTCTCTCTAATTCATTTCCCATATTTTTTTTAAATTTAAAAGTACAATTTTTTTTAATTAAAAAAAGCAAGAAAGTGATATAAAATCTGGGTTTTCTTTTTCATATACTAATAGATCGAGGAGAAATAATCAATCAGCTGCCATGGCTGCTAGGGCTTGTTTGGTCTTTCATCAGTTCTGAGTTGGAGTTGCCACAAATAAAGTCAGGTCTGTTTTGTATAAGTCTATGGGCATGACTTGTGTCTTATTTCTTTCCTTCCAAACAAACCCTATCAGAAAGTGTACATATTTATAAAATTTTTTGTGTAAGTGAATTTTTTTTTATATAGCAAATCCAAGAACTTATGTTATATGATTCCCAGATTTTGTGTTCCTCATGGGCGCATTTGCAGGGAAAAAGAGTACTTTTTTTATATAAAAAAGTGATCTTTATATATTTTTTCTCTACCATATAAGAAAGTTGCAGATCTATCCATATTGTTCTTGGTGTGTTCTTTTATAAAAAACACTTTTTGTTTTTTTTTAAAAAAGTATATGTGTGTTTACTTTTGTAAATCTTGAAATCCATTCAAGAAAATTAACATTATTTTTGTTTCATATTTTGCATTTTTATTTTATTTTTTGAAATTTAAATTTTCAAAATTGGGGTTTTGATATATGCAGCCTGAGAAAATAAAAATTCTTCCTTTGACCATTATTTCATCTTCTTTATTTTCTTGGCTGCTGGATCTATAAAAACAACATAAAAATTTGATGCTTTACATTTCCATGAGATCTGATAGACTCTTGATTAGTCCCAATTCAAGAATTTTACTTGTACTACGTCCCACATATATTTTACCGAGTTAATTATTTTATTATATGAAAGAAATTAAAACCCAATATTTCAGCTTTTTTATTTAAAAATAAAAAATACTCCAATATAAATTAGAAAGACTTAGAATATGTTCTTATCTGTAAACATGATGCAAAATCAATACAATTTGATTTCTGCACACTAGTTCTTAATTATTTCACTTTTTACGATTTCTAACATAATATTTTTTTACTATTAATATCTTTATTTGTATGTAGTTATATATAATAAAAATGATAAAATTTGCCTTTTCTTGTCTGGGTGAGAAGAAAAAAAGTGTAGTAAAATGAACTGGCTATTAATTATACCAATATATATAGTAAAATAATATGACTAAGCTCACAAATAATGAAAGGGTTAATTAATAATGAAAGGGTTTTTTTTGTTTTTTAATTTGAAGGAGTAGATTGAAAGAGATAGAATGGGGAGAGGGAAAATAGAGATAAAGAGAATAGAGAACAACACAAATAGGCAAGTGACATTCTGCAAGAGGAGAAATGGGCTTCTCAAGAAAGCTTATGAGCTCTCTGTCCTTTGTGATGCTGAGATTGCTCTCATCGTCTTCTCCAGCCGCGGCCGTGTCTACGAATACTCCAACAACAAGTAATTAATTAATTCATTAATTAATTATTTTATTCTTTAATTTATATATGTGCAATTATACAACTCATCATCATATTAATTAGTACCTAGCTA